AATCGGCATTCTTACAGTTATGTATACCAATATAGATAAATTTTACCCATCTAGTATGTTTAACTATTTTCCTATACAAATTCACATCAGTAAAAGAATTGAGTGTTTATGCTATTTTCATACGTCTTAACGACAGACCCTTCCAAACTGAAGAGGTAAAGATTAGGTTTGTTTGTTTGAAGTTAAGCACAAAGCTACACAAAGGGTTATCTGTGCTCTGCCCACCACGGGTATCGAAACCCGGGTTCTAGCGTTGTGAATCCACAGACATACCGCTGTGCCACTGGGGGGCTAAAGATTAGGATATTTAAGGGTAAGAAAATGAGAACCACTAAAACAAGAATTAAATCCAATTGGCCAAATAAGTCTTTTAATCTGGGGATACTGTTGAATGTCAGTGTTCCTTGAAAGTGGTCTACGAAGGGTTGAGTACGTTATAAAACGATTTGGAATATGCAAATCGGGGAATCACGTGACAACCACAATCTATATAAAGCCGCAATGAAACGGATTGTATCAGAAATATTTCTTTAAATTAGAAGTTATGGTTCATACAATGAAAACTGGCGAAGCATTAGAAAAAACTATAGGCCTAAAACGAGTGATCAAATTAACGTAAACTGCAGATGTGTTTTTGTAACATTCCTCTTAATTTGTACATTTCGAATTCAAGAGCTGAGGCGTGTAAAAATAGTATTTCAGATCTATTTTCTGTCTCTTACGAGTTATTGCCCAAGAGGATATTTTTCTATTTTCAGAACTCGTCACATGGGCTTGGCGATGAGTTTGAAGTTAAGCACAAATAAATACAGTGGGCTATCTATGCTCTGCCCACCACGGATATCGAAACCCGGATTCTAGCATTGTAAATCCGCAGACATACCTCTGTGCCACTGGGTAGCACTTGACAATGAGAGACCATTTTAAATTTTGACAATGTTTGACATTTTGTAGGCAGTGTGATGCCACAGAAAATTGATCACTTCTGGAAATGAAATAAACCATCCCTTTCAGATGCAAAATATTCATACACTCAGATCGTTTATAAATGCTTAGATTGGGGGCTTAGAATTTTCAAGATAGGGATATCCTTGTACTTTATTGAATTGGAAAGCAAAGGAATAAGGATCAACATAAGGCACCAGAACCGTCCAAAAAACAAAAGAGACCTACAACAAGTCATACATCAGCCGTTATAACCGTAGTCAGCGACAAAAGCTGTCCACGTGCCCTAGGCAACCGTTCGCAACAAAATCAAAGAGGATCTTCATCTGGGGAATCAACACAAGTTACTTGTTTACAAGCTGCTTCTACGACATATTAATTCAAACGACGATACCTGAAGCAGCTGGAGAACAAAACAGGTATTCATGCTATTCTATAGGAAGAGGAAGACTTACTGGTCAAGTCACCTAGGAATATCTGAACAGTTGGATTGTTGAAGGATACTAGGAAACCACTGTTCTAATAAACTATATGGACTAGTTGCGGAGAGGAGGGGTGTGCTTTAAACATGGTATCCTTGTGACGGAGACTTTTGCAATATAAACTACGTTACAGGAATATTGTCAAAATGTACAGTCGTCAGATAGAGCATGACTGGCCATAGCAACATGAGGTGTAAAGGCGTGGTGAGGCTCCAAAATAGTTTCCATGTAACATACTTAACCTTTGTAATCCAGAGGAAAGGGCCAAAACTAAAGATATACAAAGTCACATTACGCACGTTTTCGTTAGTAGAAATTGAAGAATATAACATTAATAAATAAAATTACTATAAAGAAGTTTTAAGTGGTAAGGTTTGCATTAGATTTTCAGTTTT